TACTTCACAAGAACCATTTACCAGTTCCAGTTCCAAAAAGCCCTTTGTCATGCTGCCGGTCAGTCCGATGCCTTGTCTTCGTGTGACATCACCGGTTCAACAGCGGCAGGCACCAAGCTCAGGTAACATTGTCACTTCTCCTTTCAACATTTTAATTTGGGCAGCCTGAAAAAAGAAAGAAAGGAAGCGGCTAATGACTGAACTTAATCCACCTCTTCTTGTTGTCAACATGACGTCACAACTACAGAAACTTTCAATACTGTACAAAAATGCGACATAACACGCCACTGTGCAAGCTACATCTTCTTCCATGCTGGTGAAGCCTGATTCAAGTAGGCTTTTTCCCTCAAGCATCTTGACTTTCCAATGAAGGGACAGGTGTGAAGCATTAAATCGACCGATGATCAAACATTTTTCTGAAATTGCTCACAACAAGAAAATATAATTGTTGCAATACAGACAGGAATTTATGGCCCAAAAGCCAGGAATGTACAGTGTACGCATACATTTCACAATGTGCAAAGTTCCCCAAGGAGATCGTCCCATGTTCACAGTTCTGCTTTTTTTTTTTAACCCTTTCAAGGAGAGCGGTTACTACAGTAGACAGCTTATCATGTTATCAGGGTATAGGGTGCAAGGAAGGGTTAATACTGTGTTAGCTTTACATTAACAGCCGTATTTTATTTTATCTCATTAGTTTGTGTAGTTGTACCTAATGTGGTGGCCCAAGTTTTTCTTTCAGCAGTCATCACTAATCATTGTTTTGTCAGGAACATGTTAGAGTTGGGTCGGTCCCAGTCCTGGACCCGAGCTTTGCATACAATATCTGGAGATATCAAGATGGATGCTGGGCCACTGCTGGACTATTTCCAAAAACTTTACGTTTGGCTGAAGGAGGACAACATGAAACATAACCGCATTGTTGGCTGGGATGCAGCAGTAGATCCATGTGAGTAGTTAAAATAACCATGCATGTTCTCAAAAGCTTGCCAAAGCATCTGTATCATGTTTTAGAGAGAAAAAAAACAAACTTCTCTGGGTCTGTGGTCAAAATGATCTCGAACCTACTATGAGTGCATGGAAAATGAGCGTGAAAAGTGATTTTTAAAAATGCCGTATTGCTTTGTTTGCTAAAGTAGAACCCATGTAATACATTCATTCATTGACCATGATTGCAGATTCTGATTATGGCATCAAAGTGAGGCTCAGTTTAAAAATGGCCATGGGTGATGAAGCTGTAAGTAGTCCTTTTACTAGTCAGCATATGTTGCAAAATGGCACACCAAAAATGACATTGGATGTAATAATCAGCTAAAAAAATGATGTTGTAGTATTCCTGGAACTCCAACGAGCAGTACCTGTTCAGGGCCAGCGTCGCTTATGCCCTGCGACAGTACTACAGCCAAAAGAACAACACTCTTCTCTTCACGTCAGTATGTTTTGCATTGTCTCATCTTTTGATCTTGTTACTGCTGCTATGTTACAACGTTTCTCTCGTTTTTTTTTGTATCTGCAGAGCAGACAACGTCATAACTTACAAACAGACGCCCAGGATTTCCTTCTACATTGTGGTTACCAACCCAAATAATCCATCCGTATACGTGCCAAGAGAAGATTTGAAGGCAGCCATACGGTGAGGCCAAACTTGAATGTAGCCACATCTAGGGGCATCTCAATAAATTTGACCATTACAGAAAAGTTGTAGTGGTGTGAACCACCACATAGTTATCTTGTGGCATGTTGGTGCCAAGGAACTATGTAGAAGTGAGTTGAGCAGTTTCAGTTCGACAGAAGTAGTGCATTGTCGCAAACGTCTGTCATCTTGTTGCAGAGGACTTCTGTTGATCTGAGTAGGTGATCTTTATTTAAAGACAAAAATCATGCTTTGCCACCACGTTAAAGAATCTTAGTGTCAGTAAACTCTACTGTCTGAAATGATTTGAGGAGCTTCATTTAGACATGAGTTGTCCCTTTCAGAAGTCCTCACTGTCAAGTCCATACACACTGAGCTTTTGCTGCTCTTTACTATTGCCACTGCTTGTTGAAAATGATTTGACAGCTTTTCAGTGGAAATTTATTCATATTTGCAAATAATTTAAATCCATTATCACACTGTTGCCATCATAAAACCACAAATAGCAAAGGTATTTTAAAATCATATTCACAGAAATATTTATTATTGCATCAGTTTAAAAAGGATCTCAAACTAATGACACAATGTACACAATGTAGGAAAGTTGAGTCGCAGATGTTAATTTTTCAAACATTATTTCTGAAAAAAAACGTAAAACTCTCATTTTAATAACAAGTGACAGTACATATGTACACGTATGTACTTTATATTATTAATGATTTGACTTCCTTCTCTTCTTTTGGTTACAAAGGGGTGGGAAATTTTGCTGTAAATTTTCATGGGAAGTTAAGACGGGGAATTTGGGAAATACGCCAAATTGGAAACTTTCCAGTGGAAATAATGAGAAGTGAGGATAATTCCTTGAAGATATTCGAGCGATATGTCTTGCGTGGATCACAGACTATCCCGAGGCCGAATCAACGACGCTTTCCAGCTGGATGACCACACACTAGAGTTTGACGGTATCCCGGCAACGCTTTCACCTCCTGTGGAGCAACCGGTGGAGGTGTGGCTGGTTGTGTTTGGAGTGGTTATGGGAGTGGTGGTGCTAATGGGGCTCCTCCTCATCATCTCTGGCATCAGAGAGCGTAGGAAGTAAGTCGAAGTCGCTTCACGTTCGACACCCACGTCACGTCCATGCAGATGACACGTTATGTTCATCTACCTTTGCAGGAAGTCGAAAAACATGGGGGTGGAAAATCCTTACGAGCCTGAGCCGGAGGGACAGACCAACAGAGCCTATGATGACACGAATGATGAACAAACCGGTCTCTGAGAATTTTTTTCTCATCTTGTCCCAGCGGAAGAAAGGAAAAGTAACATGAGCTCATCATCACTCTGGGGAGGTTAGGAATATTCAGCTTTCGGGTGAGCCCGACTCTCCTTAACTTTTTGTGAGTAGTATATGTGTCACCAACATTCCTGCGCAGTCGCCCACTTACTGTGCGCTGTACAGTACTGTGTTGTAAAATACTCAAAGCAGTATAACAGAGCCATACATGTACCTTTAAATATATTCCTAGGTTTCTTTCATGTACACTCGATGGCATTGTTAATGTGTGTTTATCAGTGTTCAAGTTTTTCTCAGTTGCTTAGGTATATTTCTCAGATTAGGATAGAATTTTTCAAGACTACTTGTTCAATTTTCACATCATTGTGTCACTTGTGCACATCAAAAAAAGCAGTTTCTCATTTCTTTGGACATGGTGTAAATGCGTTGGCGCATCCATGCAAATTATTATTGACATTTCTCTGCTGTGTTCAACATGATCTATTGGTTATGTATTATAAAAGGTCTTTGTTGAATTATCTCACACCCCAAAACAATTTGGCATTCGTTTTTCATATAAATCTTGACATGCAAAAGTGGTTAAAGAAGTTGTCATAGTATTATGTCAAGTGTATTTCGATACATTACCTTGAGACATTTTTTCACCAGGAGGATCTTGAAAATGTTTTCGAACAAAGAGAAATTTGTGGAGCATTAGATCAACCAATCATCAACCAGTTTTTTGAAATCACTCACAGCAAGTGAAGACAAGTGTTGTGATGCGGATGAGAATGTGGTCCACAGGTAGTTTTAAAACTGCACTGTAAATCCTACAATTATCCATAAGAAGATTCCCCCGTGTTCACCCTTCTATGTTTATATATATAGATTTTTTTTTGTTGTGCCATGCAATGCTGTCTTCTCCTTTCGATGTTGCAATGAGATGATTTGTCAACAAATTACAGTACAAAGAGTAAAACTGAAACCTGACTCTTGCCCAGTCTCTTGCAATCAATTTTCCACCTAGATGAAGGTGTAACTTTTAAAGAAGTCATTTTTTTTCTTTTTTTTTTCCAGAAAATCTGAAACACATTCTGTTTAGCTTTTATTCATTCATAATTTCATTTCAGGCGTAGAATTGAATGATCTGTTGAATTCAGGATGGAGGCGATTTTAGCAGAGGTGGCCAGCATCCTGAGACTTTTAAAGCAAAAAATTTAATTTACCGGCAGTCAAAATTTAACTGAAGCCATGATATTAAGAATCTGGCGAGACTGATTTTGTCATCAAAACTTAAGCGGCATTCTAACAGCCTTCCAGTGTAAACTGTTACATTGATAATATGACTCAGCACTTTGACTGTCTTATCCATACACAATGACACAATGACTTGTCCCTCTGATGGCATGTTCAATGATGCAAATACCTACTTTTGAGAGATGTACTCAAGATTTTGAGAAAGAACATAGCTTTTGCAGGGGAACCATGATGTTTTGCCGTTTGTTTTGAAAAATGCACTTACTGTTTTGCAAATTTCAATCCTGATCTGAGAAATGTATCAAAGCGACCGAGAAAAACTTGAAGTGTATTATGTGTGTAATGATTTAATTTAATTTATTATATTGATTGTAAATGCCACAATATTAATGATAACATGCAATGTAAAAATGTGTGTGCAGGGACAGGAGCACGAGAATGTTTTCATAAAATGTCAACTATATTTTCAGTATATTGTTAACATCGGTTTAGTTTACAATCCAGAAATCATATCTCATGTGAAAGACTTTCACAAACCTCAGAATATTTTAACTTGTAAAATATTATTCCGTCATAACAGTAGTCTTATTACATTTGGTTTGGATCAGTACTCAAGTTGTTTGTCAGTACATGTCCTGTACAATAAATGTTGCCTGTCGAATGTACCGTACCATTTTCTCCTCCTTTTTGTGTACCGTAATTGAAATTCCGAATGGCGCAGAAATGGATGAATGATTAATTAAAGAATGACTTCAGCATATTTGGACCTTTTTTTTTAAAACTCCAACAAATATTGTAAATTCAAAAAAATCCAAAGTAGCATTTTCAATGTACCATGGCTCCTTGACGTACAAGCAATCGATTGGCCCATTATTTGATTTGAGTTGTGAGGAAGTGTAAACTTTGGTGGCCGGTGACTCAACCCACTTCACAATACATGAAACAAAATCACATTGCATTAAATACCTGCATGCTAACATAAAAAATCACATTGCATTAAATACCTGCATGCTAACATACAATGGGACACTCCATAGGCACATGGGCTAAGAATTAGCATCTATGTGGTGTTGTTGGGTGGGTTTGTGGGGGTGGGGGGGATTCTAAGTCTGAATGATGAAGAGGAATGACTGAGGTCCCATGTGGTGTTGTTGGGTAGGTTTGTGGGAGGGGGGGGGTAATTCTAAGTCTAAGTCTGAATGATGAAGAGGAATGACTGAGGTCCTTGGTGTCCATCTGATTTTGCCATTTCCACAGAGTCTGTGGAAGCTGAACTGGCGATTTGCATGTACCATCCCCTGTAGAGTGCAGACTCAAACGTGCGCTGCTTTGTGCTGTCACTTTTCATGTAGAAGACGAAACAAAGTTTGGTCTCATCGTTCATGGAAATGCTTTTCATCATCTTCTTATCCACTGCCTACAAAAACAAATATGGCTGTTGAAAATGGTAAAAATGTGGCATTTACACTAGTACTTTCACATACAAGTCTATTCTGTGCTATGACCAAGTTGCAGGTCGGTTTAATTGTCTAGTCTAGTGTATGCACTTTATGCTCATTTTCTTTTAAGCCAACCAACCCGCTTTGGGAGTTTATAATGGCTGTCAAATGTACACGTATTTTCACCATTTATGGGGTTTAGTGGCCAGGCGGCCCGGCTGTTTATCATTTTCTCTGTTTCAGAGAATTGAAATACATTTTTGTTTTTTGTTAATGAATATTGTATTATAAAATATAAATGAAATAATATAAACGACTTTATCAAACAAAATGTGAAAAAAATGGTTTTATATCTTTTACATCTGTAATTAAGCTGAAAGTCACAAATACTGTTGTACATTTGAGCGTTGTGTGCCTTTAAGGGGTGTGGCCTAGTGAGTCAGCCATTGCTGTTCATTGTGTATTTGTATGTTTGATTGTTAGCCCTGTTTCTGTTAAATGCATGGTCAATGTTTTTTTTTTCTGCTAACACACTTGTGCTTCTCTTAAAGTTCTTCAAGACTACTTGTGGTACAGCGATCATTAGCATATTTGTGGCACTACATTTGCATATTTACCCATTCGCAGAGTTTTGTGGGGAACATATCTTCGCTGAGAAATTCATATACAGTATTTTCTGTTTTTGTGCTCAGGCCATAGCCATATCAAATATAAAAATGTTACTTTGGCACCGTCTTGTGGGCCCCGAACGTAGATTGAAATGAGGGGAGGAGCTTCAGGTAGTTGGTCCAAATCATAGTCAAGCAGATAAAAGTGATTTGCCACCATCTTATAGTATCTAAAGGCAATTACAAAGGCTTTTGGGTGAGATCGCTCAATTACAGTAGAATTTTCAAAATTTGAAAAGAAAGATTTTCAATACCTCCACTTGCAGCAGCACCCGCTCTTCTTTCTTGGCGCACTTAAGGAAGCAATCGGAGTCTGAGAAGTTCAAGACCACAGGGTAATTTTGGTCCAAATAAGTTGACTTGTAGCAGTAGATGGTCATTTTCTCTGAGCACAAAAACATCGAGACAATTGTCCTCACAAAGCAACATTTCAAGTTTTGTGTACAAGTGAATCTATAGTTCAGTAATTCCTAGAATGTACTATACAGAGCATGCACTGAATCGGATGAATGAACTGAAAAGTGAGACACATTGAGTAATTTCTATTCTGAGGGTGACAATTGTATGGAAAAACCTGGTTGAGGTGAAACATAGAGAGTCTTCTGTGAACAAAGCCCTCGTAGATATTTGTGCGAGGCCACATGTTCAACTGCTGTGTTCAACGCCATCATTTGTTTGAAAGTGCCCCCTCCTCTTGAAACTGTAAAACAACATAGCAAAATTAATTTTAGATCGATAGACTTATTTTTATATGGTAGATTTCATTTATTGCAGCGGTGGTCAGGAACCTAACTCCTGCAATGGAGAAGGTGTTTATTGTAAGTGTAAATACTATTTTCTGAAAACATTGAGGATGTTACTCTTTCTGTTGAAATTTCAGGACAGGCCTAAAATGCACTTTCAACTTTTCGAGTGAACTGAATTTGGCTGTCTCTAAACGTTGAATGTATGACTGGTCAGTGTTTTTTATTACTTTTTAAATTTAAACAATACTTTTCCTTATGCTGTTCACGTTTTGACATCATGAAACCAAGAACAATTGCTCAACAGTGTCTCACGATAGCATGGCCTGAGACAGGAAGTCGCTGAACTCAGAATGCCATCAGCAGGTAGCACTAGAGATGCAGAGCGTGTGGAGGAGTCACAGAAATCCACTGACGTGGACATTCTTGCAAATATTCAAGGATCATACTTACTATATTACAGTACATCTATTGTCATTTTTTCTTTTTATTTTCCATTCTGCATCTTGGAAGTTGTGCTAGTACTGAAACATTAACCATTTGGACATTTAGAGAAGATGAAATTAAAGTAATCTGTAAAGTAAAAGATGGCATTTTAGGTTCATCCTGAAATTTCTGCTGAAGGCAGAGTAACCCAAACTTTTTTTGAGTAGTGTATATCTCGAGTCTTTCAACACTTGAAAGGAAATATTTTGCAGTCAGTGGAGCTCACGGACGACTGCAAAACTTTTGTCTCCCTGGTGATGCTTTGGTGCCCACTCCAGAGACTCATCTTTACTTGATGCTTGTTTGTGGATCGTTTTTCCCTTATTTTTGCCTCCAGTAAGTGAAAAGCCAATTGAACTCACCAAGTGTCACCTTGCTGGACTTTGCCACAATGACAATGTCATTGAGGGTACATCCTGTCCCATGACATCCACGGCAGTCGCTCCCAGAATCACAGCCCCTTCCTCTCAACACAGAGAAGCTAGTTTCCGTCATGGTAACAACAAGCAAATTGCTTTCCCGTTTCTTCTCCTCGTCCTCAGCCGGGCAAAGGTTGTTCTCAGCATCGCCATACTCTTCTTTATCGCCCCTTAAGCCGCTCTCATTCTGCTGCAGGACTTCCTCTCGCACCATTTCCATGCTGAATTCAAGTACGGTGGCCTCCTTGGAGATGGGGTGGAGAACATTCTCCATTGAGCAGAGCTGCTTAAAGTGCTCCTTCTTCCGGCCTGACTTGTGCACCGTCTGATCACAAAAATAAAAGATCAGCTTTGATGATCAGAGAGCAGGAAAATCCTGACGTCATTGTGAGTACTTTACTGTGAGGCTATTTTAAAATATGATTGGGTGAAGAAACAATCTTATTGCCAATGGAGTGTAAAGTAACATGGGCCGGCACTACTGATTCACAAGGACCTGAACAGATTAGATTGCCTTGCCTTGGGTTGAAATCTGATTGGAGTAAACAATCGAACATACACACACGTACTGGAAGCAACGCGGCCAATTAATATGCTTTCATGGACAAAAAACTTGAATTTAGGTTGTAAATGTAGGTCAGTGCTCCTGCCAACAGGGAGGACTGAAAATTAACTTCTGGTTTGTCAATCATAGGTAGGCGGGCGGACAGACACAATGCTCAACCGTGAAAGATGCGATCATCTCACCAACATTGGCTGACCCTTTGCTATGGCCTGAGCCAGCTGATCGGGGGGTAAATCCTGCAGGTCAGTGCCATTTATTTGCACCAGCGTGTCTCCTCTCCTAACAGAAAAACAAGAATGATGAAATGATGAATTTCCAACACCCTCCAATGCGATGATAGATATTGAATTAGTAATTAATTCATTCTAAATGTCGGATCAAATATTGTCTTGTTATGTCAAATATTGCCATTCCATTACCGAGACAATCTAATCAGACCGAATACAGGGACTGGATTGAAAGATACTGTATCTTTCCAAAGACAACATTTAGTGTTTTATTCTGCAGTGTGGTTGAGATTTTCATTCGATTTATTGGTCTGCATTTCCTTACACATCAACATCTCCAAACAACCCCCCCTAAAAAAAAAAAAAAAGACTTAAGTCTTCAATGTCCAAATACCTTATGATGTGTTTTCCTCCACTTGAGTTTCGGTGCTTGACGACATTTTTCACTTCATATCGGTGCTTCCCCTCATGGAGCTGGTGAACTATTAGCACACTTCCATTGACAAGCGAATCCTACCATGTGGAAACAAAAGAATGCGTTTTTAACTTGAATCCATCCTCAACTGTCCGTCTTTGTGGGGAAGGAAAAAAGAAAGAAGCTTTGGTCACCTACCGCCACATCCATGCCGCTGACAATACACGCAAACGATGACGCAGTTGCTCTTGACCGGGTCTCACAACAAATGAGTAAAGAGTGAAGCTCCTGTCTCGCGTTTTATATTTCTGCTTTGAACAGAAGAGGAAGCAGCAACCAGATACACAAAAATAGCGGAATTGATTTTGAACTTCTGTTTGGGAGCCTTCATGTCATTGTTGCATATTAACGACATTATTTTCAAGGCCCCCTGTGTGCCATGACTGTAGCTCCCCAGTGCCGGCAGCACTCACTCAGCTTCAGATAATCACCCTCTCACCACCACGCTTGACTATAGGCAAGACATGCCTGTCATTGCACTCCTCACACACACTTTGCACCATCTGAATCAAATAACTTGATACTGGTCTCGTCAGACCAAAGATCAAGTAATCAATGTCCTTAGTCTTCTTGTCTTCAGCAAAGTGTTTGAAGGCTTTCTTGTTTATTATGTTCAGAAGCGGCTTCCTTGTGGGATGACGGCCATGCCAACCAAGTGTGCGGTGTCCGAACACTGACAGGCTGAAAACATCATCCCCCACAACCTCAGCAGTAACGCCGGTAGTTTTTACTGGATAAATCTTTTCTCCAAAGAAAACCTCTGGATACGATGCAGTTCAAATATTTGGGCACCAGTCCTGCTAAATCACTGAATTGTCTCACTTACCTCCATCTCAGCCTTCACAGTCCTCTTGATTGGGGGGTTTACGGGGCTGTTTGGTGATGTTCCTTCCAGGACATCATGGATTGTGCATGATAATGATGTGAGGGAAGCACAGCCTATTCGAGAGAGTTTCTCTTGTATGTCTTCAGATAAGCTCAGGTTGCTGGACAAGGAGGTGCATTACATGGTGCTTATTGGTACTGCTGTTTTATATCGTCATTGTCTTGGACCTCGCCTTCCATTTTAGTGCCAAAACCTGATTGGGCATGCATAAGGTCAATATTGGTTACAAAGTCTGATTCGTTTCCTTTGCCCCGGATGGATGACTTGCAGCTGCAACATTTCTCTCCAAATTTGATCTTTGAAAGGGGTACTCCCCTTGGAGGGGCATGCAGAGGCAATTGCGTTATTTGTGACTCCATCAGGTTTATACTCTTACACAGTCATGCCTATTGTTCTTAAGAACGTGACTGCAATATTTCAGAGGTGAATGACTGGGTAGTTGCAGGGTTGGAGGGTCTTACTCTGTATTTGGATGATCTTGTGTTCAGTGACTGGCCTCCTTTCCCTTTTGTAGTGAATTAGGGCTCTCCTTGTATGTTTGGCTGAGCCCAATATGTTGACCCATTTGGCTAAATGTGGCTTTGCCATGGCCAATGTGACTTAGCTGAGTCGGGTTGCGGGTCAGGGCCAAGTGGCTCCGGATGATGCAAAACTGGCTGCGGTGGCTGGTTTTCCCAGGCCTGCCACTAAGAAAGAGCTGCGGCGCTTTCTCTGCCTCGTAGGCTATCATAGGAGTTGATGTCCGAACTTCTCATCTGTGGTCTTTCTGTTGACTGAGTTGCTTATGGCTGAGGTGAAATTCATGTGTTCTATTTATTGTCAGCTGGCCTTTGGCAATATCAAGGCCCTGTTGTGTTTGTGTCTAGTTCTTGTAGCCCTGTGGTTTGTTTCACCTTTTCAACTGCAGGTGGAAGCCAGCCAGATGGGGCCTGGTTCTGTCCGAGGAGGCTTTTGGCCTGTTAGGCAGATGAACCCGATCTTTTCAGTCCTGGCTGGAGAGGACTCGTTGTCAGTGAGGGACCATGCCTTATACAGCCCCAGTGAACGTGCAGGTAGTTTTGTCAGACCTGCTCGACCGTTTTCTACTGGTGGTTGTCTTTTCGTCGCATCTGCTCTGTCTGCTCAGGTAGTTTCAGTTGTTCTGCCTCTGATGGCTCTCACCCAATTCTCCTCCCTGCTTTTGGATGACCTCGCTCAGTTCTGGGGGCAACGCTGTATGGCTTTGATGGTCCCCCAAATGCCTCTTTCCATCGGACATGGTCCAAGCCGTTCTGACAATGCTGTGCAAGCACTTTCTTTGACCTGTTAGAGGTACATGCATAGGCTAAACTGCACGACTGCTTGGTTTACGGACTGCATTGTTCTCCTGGGAACCACTTTTGTTTGTCACGGTTCCGGATAAATTCGGAACAGAATCGGATCCCGCAAATGCAGACAAGATTTAAGATCGTTAACACAAAAGTTTATTCAAAGGAAAAAACGTAACTCTAAAAAGTACAACGTAAAACGCTACTAACAAAGAGCCACGATAGAATGGGACAAACAAAAAGCGCTTGCAAAAATGCACGGAAAGATTACAACGCAAAATCACTTGTCACGAGAGGGCAAGGTAAAGCCAATTACGAGAAACGAAAAAAAAATACACTGAGAATAACATGAAGACAAAGAATGGCACTTACTAAAGCAAAATGCAAAAATATATTATGTGACTATGAACGATGAAGCATTAACCTGGACGTCTTCATTCTCGGTTAGCACTGACCTGAATGTCAAAGCCACTCCTCTCCATGTACCTTTAACAATGGGATGTTTGTCATTGTGGAAAAGACAAAAGTGCATATGGCGCTTGCTACGTGTCGTGAGCAAAGCTGAATTATCCCACAACCTGTTGTCGGCTTGACAATATGAGATGTGTCCTCACTTTTGTGAAATTCTAAATAACAACCTAATGAATACCACTGTGATGTGTACCCACTAAAAAAACAATTGGAAGACACTCACTTCCCTAATGATTCAGCATCACATCTCTAAATTATGAGCAAACACTCTCAGAAGAGGAAATGGAAACTCCGTTAGAGAGTATTTCACTGACATGGGAACTGAAAGGATACTATACTTCCTCTGTGCCCGTTCTAAGAACAGTCAGGCACCCAGTTGAATAAAACACAAAGAACAATAAAACACTTTTGATATCAACCGTAACACAAGAAATGGAACAAGTCAGACCAGAGGGTCATGTCACACTATCACAATTATCAACACTAACATGTGAACTGTTTACTCAACACAACTGACAGAGATGATGTTTTATTTATTATTTAGATGATTAATCTAGTTTTGTTTTGAAAAGGGGGAGGGACTATTTTTAGTCTGTTTATCCTCAGTAGCGTCGCGGGCGTGCTGAAGCCAATCCCAGCTGTTTTCGGGCATTAGATAAGTTACACCCTGAACTGGTTGCCAGCCAATCGTAGGGCACACATAGATAAACAACCATTTGCACTCACAATCACGCCTACGGACAATTGAGAGCGTTCAATGCATGTGTTTGGAATGTGGGAGGAAATTGGAGTCCCTGGAGAAAACCCACACAGGCACAAGCAGAACATGGAAACTCCACACAAGGCCAGAGGCGAAATCGAACGCTGCATCTTTGCACTTTGAGGTCGGACGTGCTAACCAGTCCGACTCATGGCCAAAGTTTCTTGGTTTTCACTACTATCCGAGACTGGGATGGAAGGGGATTTTTTTTCTGTGTGATGGGAGTGAAAATTCACTCCCATGTCACCCTTTAATAACAATCTCACGCACCAGTGACCCTAGCAATTTCTGCTTCCACGATGTCAAACACTGCGTGCGCTTCCACCGTCCTGATTTTAAAGGGACTAAGGGGAGCCACTTAGAGTCAGTTATGTCTCATTCCACAACGGCGCAAACACCCACTCCTATTTGTGCGAGTCAAACAAAATACCAAAAGTAAGAAAACTACAACATGCACACAGCGAGACTACGCTCTGTGAAAATCTTGTCTTGGCCATGAAAATAGGGGCCTTTTGAGTCACCAATGCAGCACAATAGTGTCCAAGCAAGGTTTAATTATGTACGAAAAGTAGTGGGAGTAAAAAACAATACTAATAAGGCACAGTCATTCTTCTCGCGCACCCTTGTCATTCTACAAGTGATTTGTTTTACGAGTGAAGGCAAAGAGCACATTGGCACATGGACCTTAAACTGGATCTCAATGATATAGAAAAAAATACTCCGTTTCCCATTTACAGCAAGACATCATCTACTGACATTCAAAGCTCCACATTGGTGTTCACGTATCTCCAAAGATGTACACAAAAAATAACGATGATCAAGTTCCGAGGTACATGCAAATACACTCACCAACATTGACTATATATTTAGACCAGGGGTCAGCAACCAAAAATGTTGAAAGAGCCATACAGGACAAAAAAAACAAAAAACAAATCTGTCTGGAGCCGCAAAAAATGAAAGCCTTCTATAAAAACTTTCAATGAAGGAAACACATGCTGTATGTATGTAGGAGACTCTACTGTCTCAGAATTGTTTGTTATTCATTCCTTTGTTGTGTGTTCACAAACGCCCCCATAGAATTTATTTTGTGATTTCCTCACTTTATTTTTTGTTTTGGTGCATTATTTTCGCTTTTCTTAGGGTCAGTGAAGTGATCATGGATTTCCGTTTTTCGGAGGCTGTCTTTGAACGCCTCTCGAGTTGAAGAGAAGAGAGAGGCACGGAGTCGGAAGTAGACGTGTCTGTGTTTGTCGAGACTGTTAAAAGCATAAAGTGTACGTTTTAAAAAACCAACACCACAGCTCTCCTTTTTCGGAGCTGCAACATGTATCTATATCTATTTGAGCTATATTAGCCTACTATCAAAATCTTTCTCCATCTTTTTCAAACATTTTTTATAAAGCTCCAGGGAGCCACTAGATGTTGCTAAAGATCCGCATGCGGCTCTGGAGCCGCGTGTTGCCGACCCCCGATTTAGACACTGACGCTATTTCTAGGGATCCCTGGACCAGACGGCTAAATGTGTGGTTGGATTGAGTTACATGAAAAGCACATGGCGCTGTCGCAAAGTTTCATGTCCTCACAGCAGCTGGGACACCAAAACATTGGTGAAAAGAGCAAAAGCGGACCTTCCAAGCCCTACTAGGTGCAGTAAGTCAATTCCGCATGTTTCAGGATTTACTGCTTATTCAAAGTGACTCATTTTATCACTTGAGAGTATCTTTGATCATGTAGTCAGGGGTTACATACAGAATTGTGTAAAAAGACTTGGATTTGTTCCTTGTGGTGCTATGAATGTTTGCAATTATGTATTTTTAAAATTCTAAACTCACAGAAATACGAAAGTAATTAAAAGATGGTACATTTTGTGTGGCCTTGCCTAATTCTATACACTTTTATTCATTATGTGTTATATCCAAATGCATATTATGTGGGTGATTCCACATTTTTTCATTTTTTTACAATATAGCTAAGTTACACAAGCTGGCATTGGTCCTTGAGCAAAAATTATTACACTGACCCAGATTTGTAACATTGTCACGGTACAGCATTTGTACGCAAATGCAACTTCACTTTCCTGTTTTCATTTTGAATAATTTATTCTGCAAATTTTTTGAAATAAGTTTTTCGGGTGTCTAAGTATCTGACAGGGTTGCGTCAAAAACAACAAAAAATATTGTTTGAAAAAAATGTCTATTGTTGATTGCTAAAATGGATAAATCAAATCATATGATCGTTTATTGTTTTTTTTTCTTTTGAAGAAGATAAATAATTGCTCCCAGAAAAAAAAGGTGACTTTTTCAAAAATGTCACTGCCTAAATTGCCCTCCAATTTTGGAATGCCTGGTGTATATATAGTTCTTGCATGGCTTCGATGTGTAGCATATTTAGGGGATGTCTTGCTGCATCAGATGGCGATGCTGGACGTGTTGATCATTGGGGGTGGGCCTCACGCCTTGACCCTGGCCAGCATGCTATCACCCTCGTACCCCAAACACAACTCAAATCCAAGACGTGAGTCAAACCTTCGCCCATCCCGCACTGAAACAGTATGTGTGTGTGTGTGTGTGTGTGTGTGTGTGTGTGTGTGTGTGTGTGTGTGTGTGTGTGTGTGTGTGTGTGTGTGAGCAAAACAATAGTATTGACTGTGAAAGTGTTTCAGTCGTGCTTATGAGAGCTTTACAGTCGTGCATGTGAGAGCGTTTTAGTGGTGAACCTGAGAGTTTCAATGTGACAGCCTTTCAGTTGTAAGTGTGGCTGTGTCAGTAGTGTACATAAGAGCTTTTTCCATAGTGTTGATGAAAAAAAAATCAGTATTGTATGTGAAATTGTTGTTGTAGTGTGTGTTTGAAAGTGTTTCAGTCGTGTATCTGAGTGATAGAAATGTCATAGAAGTGTGAGAGCATTTCAGTCGCATGTGAGCAAAAACAATTTCAGTCAAGTGCAGTGTGTGAAAGCTTTTCAGGAGTATGTATGAGTGTTCCGGTTGTTTTCAGTGGTGTGTTTCATATTTCCATAGTGCATGTGACAGCATTTCAGTAGAGTATGTTAGCGAATGTTTCGGAAGAGTGTGTGAGCGATAACATCCCAGACAACCCCTTTTTTGTTTCAGCAGAGCGTACAGTAGAAGGGGACCTCACCAAGTCCACACGAGCAGAAGGCGTCATTCGTCCGCCAGACATCAATCTGCAAGTGGTTGACGCCTATGGCGAGTGGACTTCTTTGTGGAAGAGTCAATTCACAGCACTAAATATCCCCCATTTGCGCTCGCACACACTGGTGCACACGGACCCTGTCAACAAGGTAGAAACACACACAAACAAAATCTGATGTCCAGACAAGGTGTTAATGTGCGTGTATGTGATTTTTTTTTTCTTCAGAAAACACTACAGGAGTTCGTGTTAAAGCACAATCGTTCGACTGAGCTTCATAGTCTCCCAGACCGGGTGCTCATTCTGGATGACAACGCTTTTTTCAATGACACGCGGCTCGGCAGGAAAGAGAGAAAACGTCTGAATGTCTCTTCCAATCTCAAGAATAGTTTGTCCTTCAGTCTGCCAGGAACTGAACTCAGCGTGGATTTCTTTAAAGATCAGGTTGGACTGTCTGGAATATATAACGTGTGTTGGTGTCTCTTCAGCATGGCGTGTTGAATTAACTTTGAATGTGACTAATTAAAAAGTTGTGTCCTGTATCCACACATGAATACATAATATAAGTTCTGAGCATGAAATCTTGCATTTTCAGGATATTTATTGATTAGTTTAGATATTTTCATGTCATATATATTTGAATTTTTATGTTTGCATTTTGGTTCCCGCTGTTGTTGTGGCCATTGTTCTCTCATTCTTAACGTGAGTTCAACCTTGCTCACAGTGCATAGGTTCTTTATTGAATATCCATCCATTGACTATATTTTTGGTGTGAGTGATGTCTTCATCGACTTTTTATGGGAACCCTTCAAAATGTAATTGCTCTGACAAATCATGACATTTCAAAGGTGAACAAATCCATCATTTGTCATTCTTCGGATATGATCACTTCAGGGTACATATATATCTATTTTTTTTTTAACAGTTATTTTGCTATTCAAACTTGTATGGCTGATAACATTGCCAACACGCTTGAAAATGGTAACCCGCTTTCTAGGTCGCTGTTGATTTTGAGCAGACTGGATTCCTTTTACCCAAGGTTGGGTTAATTATTTTTGACTTGGCCTAATGGGTTGAAGACTGAATTTTAGTGGGCCAAGGAGCTGAAGCAGTTGACCATTATGGACAGTTTTGTTGTGTAATGAAGTTGAAGTAAATTCAATGTAACGTCAGGACGAGTGTGTCAGGGAAATGTGGGCATCGGCTGTTAAAACATGCTGTGGCGACCCCTGATTGGCCAAAGTTTCTCCTCCTTCTTCTTCTTTGAAAATTTTGATCATAAAATTACCGGAATATTATTCTTAATAACATTTACTGTCTACTCATAACCTGGAAACCCAATTATTGGTAGCTTTAATTCGCCTGATTGGGTAGATTTTACAACCTTGTTGGATCAAATTTTTGACCCAATATGCAGGGTCAAATCCTCAGCCCAATGTGCTGGATATAAATAAACCAGCATTGAATCGGTCCCCTTTGGACCCAGTGCTGGTTGAGGTATTTTGCCCAATTTGGCTCTTTTAATCCCGCAGTTTTAAGAATATATAAACATGTGCCAAATTCGAACACTATTCCAGGTTTGAAAGTTTTTTTCAGACCAAGAAAGAAAAAAAAAAAAAAACTTCAAACCACTATTTTACAGTAAAAAAAGAAGACAAGATGAACGCTTTGAATACTATGTCGAAATGTCAAACATGTGTCACTCATAGTACTAATAGTACCTACTTTCGGTTGCCTCCCAATCAAAACGTTCTGAGTTTGAATCTCAGCTCAGGCTTGGAGTTTGCATGTTCTCCCCATGCTTTGAGTGCTCCAACTTTCTCCAAGATTCCAAAAACATGCATGCTCCTTTCGTTAAAGACTCTAAACTGGCTGGAAAGATTGTTTTGGAATGAAGTTAGTGCTCAAGTAATGACAAGTTGTTTCACCAGATGGATGTGAATCTACAGGTGGAGAGATATAACTTGAACAAAGTGCTTGTGAAGGGAACTGTTACTCGCATCACCGCAGTGACTGAACGCGAGCAAATGTGCCAAGAGGACAGCACAATACATGAAGAGGCTTTAAGACAAGGAGGTGGGAGGAGGAAGAAAAGAGTCAAATATTTCCAAGTCCAACTTGAAGATGGCGCCGTGCTCAAAGCTCATCGGGTGGTTATGGCAACAGGGCCCACCCGCGCCCAGATGGCAAACATCCCGCAGTGGGTGACTGATATCGAGGAGAGCTATCCAGAAGAGCTTCTGCAACACACTGTGCACCTCATGCACGCTTTATCAAGGACACAGCAAAACTCTCAAGACAATGACAGTCTCACACAAGAGGATTTTGTCCAAAAGACTAGTAAGGATAATTGCCTTTTCCCAGAATTCCTCATCTGTTTTGCCCAAGTATGTCACAAAACATGATAAATTAGCTTCCTCTAGTTGGAGTCACTCTAGTACCTTCACTAAAAGACAGTAAAACAAAATGATTTAGAACATGTTCACAAAAGTACCAAAAGAGAGGCATTTCCATATTTGCAAGCGGGTTTTCTATATTGTACAGTGCAGTGATCCCCTGCTATTTATGGACAGGGACCAAGCAAATTACTAAATCATTTTGATTTAACTAATAAGGTTTATGCTGTACGTTATGTTCCTATAGATATCACAAAATGGTGGCAAAGGACTACTTTTGTCTAAATGATGCTCTTCAACTCAATTCAGGAGTTGCTTGAAACTGAGATGCCACGGCAACATTGTTTTTAAAGCACAATCCCAGCTTTCGTTGACTAATGGAGGTCAGGTTGAAAAAAAATTGTAGGCAATTCTGCAATCGCTGAGCCACCAATTGGATTCCCCAAATGGGCAAACAAATATGCACACTAACACTTAACACAAACAGTAGCTCAGTGTTAAACTCACCTCTTGGCATTCATGCACAGGGATAAATGCACTCCTCTGGCTAATAAAAGCTGCATTGTGAGAGAAGCAGAGACATATTTTCACTATGACTGTGCACAAGGCGCATTCAAGGACCGCTAACAAACAGGATATCAGGACCCAAACCAAAAAAAAAAAAAAAAAACCACACCATAAATGAATGACACCCAAGAACAACCGCAACATCAATATTCCAGGCGATGACGTTAAAGGAGTACTTTTATAGCTTAGCTATAACGCAAACAGCCAACAGATGATTTTTTTCAGTACATAACAGAGAATAGTTGTTTTTTTTTTAAAGGTATAAATGAGAACATTCGCAAATGGGAAACCCCAAATATCACTGTACTTGTTGTCCTTTTGTTGTTTGTTTGTTTTGAAGAGGCTTTCTTCTCAGAATATTGCATCTCTATATGTTTCTAGGGTCGTGTGTGGTGTGTGAGGCAGGCCAGAGAGTAATGGTCGTTGGTGGAGGTCTGACCAGTGCTCATGTCGTCTCCATCGCGCTGCAGAATGGAGCCAGTCATGTGACATGGGTCATGAGAAAGCACCTCCAGGTCTATTAACATAATATTACACATTTGCAAAGGTGGCAAACGTACTCACTGAAAACTCTAGTACTTAACAAAATAGGTGTATTTCCACTGCAGATATGACTCTCTTGAGCTGACATTTTTTTAGCGTGTGTCTCACAGTTGAAGCAATTTGATGTGGGTGATGTGGAGAGCCTGGTGGGTCGTTACTCCCATGTGGAGCATGGCATCAAGATGGATGGCCAAGCCTTCCTCAGGCAGTTCTTTAATGAAAGAAGTCTTCACAAGCGACTGGCTATGATTCGTCAGGCAAGGAAAGGAGGTGCCGTCACCCCAGAGGCCTACATCCAATTACAGCCATTTATTTTGAAAGGACAGGTGACTGTGAAGACGTATTGTCAGGTAAGTTGCATGGACGTTAATACTGGCGTGAGATTGTATTGTGACTAATGGGAAAGAGCGATGGGGATTCGCAAAGTGCGCAAACCACTGGTGGTATGTAAACTGTGCAAATTTTGAGAGCTGCCGGGACAGAACATACAATCGAGAGTGACAAGATCACAGGATGTTCACAGTAAGGAAAAAAAGTACAGAGGCACTTAAAAGAAGGAAAAATGCAACAAAATGTTGGGTCCCTCTTGTGAATGTACAGTTTCCACTCTTCTGGGAAGACATTCTGGAAGAAAGTTTTTGGCATTCTATTGTTGAAAATATATCAGCAAGATGGAGAAAGAATGTTCAGGGGGCCTACCCATGACTCCTGATGCATTATATAGTCCTGTACAAAGGTGTAAAATCCAGGTCCAAAAAGTACAAACCCTACCACAGATGCTTCGACTCTAACAAGCTCATTTACCTGCCTGTTGAGTAGAAGCACCCTTGGCTAACATCAAACTGTGGCAACGTTTTAACTTTCTGGACCTGGATTTGACACCTCTGGTACTCTACAATGCTACATTGCTCAGAAACTGAAGTGTAAATCTCTGGTCAGGTGAGGGAAGCCAACTGGTGCTATAGGAATCAGGCCTGGAGATTGTCCCTCAGCGATGGAGACCTTTGGACAGGAGATACGATTTGGTTGGCCACTGGGTGTAAACTTGATGTCAAACAGGACCCTTTGCTTTCTGAAGTGATGAAGGAATTCCCTATTCAGGTGAATAATAACTACCAGCGACATCATCGTTTTTTGTGTTTCTTTTTTTTTCTGGGGAGCCTGCCATCAGCCATTGCAGGAATCTCTGCATAGTTTTGGTACATTTTCTGCAACGCTAAGATGCCACAAGATGCCTCTAAAATCCTGGCTAATGAAAAATAATTGGCATGAAGGAACTATAGTGAAGGGATGCATCACCGCTGTTCTAACATCCTTGCATATTGAGGGAGGAGCTAATTTTAGATTGGGTTGTTCGTCTTTGACTGAGGTGCGAAAATCAAACCATTAATAAGCCATTATATTTAAGGATTATGTCAGTTTTGAAATGATCACCTGACACGGGATCATAGTTTGTGGTATTTTACCATTTAGGTTAAACTATTAATATAGGTAATGATCAATGTTTTTAAGGTGTGTCAATTAATAGCGGTTTTTCCTAGCAGGGATGCCTTTCCAAACATGACACTATTAATAACTTAGTTTACAGAAATACTGTATCCTGAAGCAGTGGCGGGCCGTGCATTTCAACCTTAGGCCTTCAGTGACGTCACATACATACACAATATCGGCTCGTCAAGCAGCACTTAATTTCAGGAGCATTTAAAACCATCAAGTAGACACCAACCAAACAATAACAAAACAAACTATTCTTTGAAAATAAACAGGTCATTTGCATTTTGAAAATCGGCGATACAACAGCAAATAACTGAAAATGTTGAGCAGCTGAGATTGAACGAACTTTCGTGCACGAAGGTGACTACAATGCGCCATTATAAATTGCAGGTGAGCAGATTTATTTGATACATTTTTGTATCTTTGTCATTTTATTTCGTTACCATGAATTTAATACTAACGAAATAAAATGACAAGAAGAAATGTAAAATAAAATTCATTTACTCACCAATGTCGTGCCTGTTCACTGAGGTGCAGATCTACGCGAGTGTCCCCAAACGTTTTTAAACGCACCGTAGCTTGTAAGTGCCCAGCCGTTTCCTTGCTGCCTTAGTAAAACAATCCAGTGTGGCTCCAAACACCAAATCGGTCAGTTGCAAGCAATAGGCATTCCCAGCAGTACAATTTGCAGCAGAGGCTGTGAGCCACGGGTAGCGTTCATAATTGATCATCTGAAAATGACGGACAACCCCTTTTCCCTGCTGGGACAGGTTAGCTCGCGCAGGAGTTGGGCGACCTCTTCGCACAACATCCAGCTTTTGGTGGAAGGTCCGTCTTGAAAATTGTGTGGAAAGTAGTTCCACAACCAGATCAACATCTTCTCCTTCAGCCATTTTGGGTTAAAATGCATT